AGTTCAAGTCAAACAACCGTAATCGTTTTCAAGCTTAATTTAGCTGTTAGAAATCGGGGTAAAAAACACCCTTGCCTTTGTCAGAAAGATGAAAAACCCGTGTTTAATACGAGTCCGGAGACTTATAGCCCATTTTCAGCGAAAACTTAACTGCAGTTAAGAGCTCAGGTAAGTTCCAATAATTTGAACATTTTGGTGAACAGCAAAGGTTATTTCTTACTATTTGCTTCTTTATTTTCATTTTCTTGTACTTAATATGAGCCATTTCCCCCTTTGAGGTGTAATCTAATTTTTCTTATGGGCCTCAACTGCAGTTAAGGCTTGGTGGAAAAGAACTATTATACTGCTTCACTGGTTGTGCCTAATATTTGGAAAACTTCATGCTTGCGCTAAAAAATGCAATGGTTAAGCTGTCGTCTGATCTTATACAAAAGATTCCATTATTCAGAGTAAGAGGCCTTCGAAATGCCTTTTTAGCATCCAAGCTACTTCAAAAACTAGCCTGAATTAAATAATCAGATTTATTCCACCAAAAAAGCTACTAAATATATATAAATAGCACTTAATTATTCTGCTGCTTTTTCTCTTACCTCTAAGCAATTGCTTGCCATGTAACCTCTCCGAAAATCTTACTCAGCACACACATGTCTTTAGCGAATACATAATTGCTCGTGTACTAAAGTTGCCAATTGAAGTTAGACAGCAATTTTCCATTAATTACAGACAAACGCATGCTTGCACACACAGAAATATTAATTAAGTTTTTAGGAAATGTAGCAGGAAAGAAGAAGTATCAGCCAAATCCAAGAAATAAAACCTAAGTAGAAGTTACAATGTCGCAAAGGATGCAATTGCAACAAAAAGACTATTTTATGAGCATTTAAATGCACTTGTACCTACATATACATATATGCATTATACTTGTATGAATGTATATGCATGCAGTACAGTGTATGTACCAATACTTACGAGTAGAAAATTTGGCAACTATTGCACTTACAGGGTGTCCCAAAACTTACCAAGATGTGATTAGTAAAAATGCTGCACTACATGGCAGAACAGCGCATTTTCATTTTTGGATAAAATGTATTTAAAAATTAATGAAAGTTAGCACCATTGATTTTTCGAGCAAAATTGCTTTGAAGCCATTTTCTTAACTCGTTTAACAGTTTGAATGTTAAAATCTAATAAAACCAAACCATAATATTAGAACGTAAATGGGTCACTGAAAATCATGAACGTGAACTGTTGGTGAAAATATTGGACCAAAATGTTTCAATACAAAAAATTTATTTTGGCAGTGACGAAGTTTGGCGGTTCTGCTAATTCATTTTATAACAATATGATACGTACAATAAATAATATAATGGCGGAATTCCGGCGTGGTATGTCAAATTATGCTAAAATTTCAAGCATTTAAAAATGATGCAGATTGCAAAAATTTTGGGACACCCTATAAATGGTAGTCGTGTAGCATACACAATTCTGCTTTGCAAAAGGTAGCATTCCCATAAATTTTTCGTTGTTCACAACTTGAAAAGCAATAATAAGTATTGTATAATTTTACGAGCGTCCCTAATTAGATTTCCAATTTTAGTTTCACTATAGGACAATATTGCTTAGTTAGTATTTAAAAATAATCTAATACGTGCAGTTCTAAAAGGCTGGGAGAGCTCCAAATCAGGAACCTCGTTTAGCTCAGATAGAGCTCTATGCAAAGGAGCAAATTTGATATAATTGTATTTGGAATTCCTTACATAAAATATTGAGACCCGACGTAAATTACGAATAGGAAAATTGAAAGGCAATTGTTCCAAAAGGTTAGGACAGTTGACTGAATTATTTAGAATGTTAACTACAAAATTACAGGCAAGAAAGGCAAACCAAACCTACTATGCAGAGGCTTTAAGCTTAAAAGCTGACAACGCAATTCATAAGGTGGTACAGGTTCACTAAAGTTGAAGGAACGGAGTGAAAATTTTATAAAAGTTCTTTGAATACGTTCTATGCGTCTAATATGCCTAACATCGTACGGTCTCCAAATGACGGCGGCGTACTTAAGTCTAGATCTTACGAAAGAGATGTACAAAATCTTCAGAGTATACGGTGCTTTTACACACTGAAAAAAGTAATAAAAACTCTCAAAAAAGCAAAATCGCTACTGCGAAATAATGGTTTGAAAAACCGCATAAATTCAAATCCGCATAAAAAGAGACCTAAGTGTATAGGTTTCAGATGAAAGAGGTTGAAGAAGGTTGTAATTTAAAAATATTTTGAAGAGGGTTGCCACCTGTTTGAAAAGTCGAATTTACTTGAATTATACCGAAGTTATAAAAAATTTTACAATATGGGTACGAATAGAAATGGTTTTGAAAATACTTCATTTCAAAACTATATGTAGGAGAGTTGCCACGTTCTTAAAAAGTTAAATTCAACTTGAATTAAGGGAATAAGGTATTTTTGATATTGGTTCACAAAATGGGTATCTGTTGAAAGATGTCTAAGAAGATTTTAATGTTAAAGAGTGTTAAAAAATAAAAATGCTTAAATCTCATATGCTTTTGGTTAAAATTGAAGGTGCAGTGCAGCACGCCTGGTATTTGCTACTATTTAATAAAGCTAACTTAAAATATTTCTGAAAACATTACAATGGGCTTTAAAATTAATTTTACTTCACCGATTACGTACATTAGAAAGGCACGCCATTTAAGTCCGAAACAGAAACTTTCCTTACATTTTCGTTAGTGAAATGTATGCGGTTTGCATATCTCCTTATTTTATGTTTACACACATTTCCTGCCTGTTTATTAACCTCATCAAGTCTAACTTTGTTCATTACACTCTTGTAAATCACTGCGTATACAATTTTATGTGTAACGCCTATACGAATTCTACGCAAAATCCTCAACAACTTATCAACGCTACTTCATTACTATGCAATTTGTCAGCAAATTATGGGATGTCAAACGCAGCTAAAAAAAAACACGAAATCTTGCGACAAAGAGAAAGATTAATATGCATGTACGTACATAGTTATGTATACATACAAAGAACATTTATAAAGTTGAAGTGAGGTTTTTGATTTTTGCGGCTTTGAGTCACTTTAATAAAATATTCTGCAAGTATATGTACATTAGAGTGGTCCAAAATTGCATGTGAAGAAGTAAAGTCTGAATTTTAATGCCGGCACCCCCTAGGATTGTTCTATTCCCAAAAAAAGATACCCCTTGTTTTTTTATTTGAAAAAAAAAATAGAGAGTGCTCAAAGCGATCAAAAGTTTTCATGTATATTATATGGAGAAAAACCACTTTTCGTAGAAATGGTGTAGAATTCTTGAAAATCAATATTTTTAGATCGGAAAATTTGGCTTCTATTCGGGATATTCCCAGTAATAATACCCAATTGTTGCTTAAACCATTTTTTCATGGTAACTATATTTTATAGGACCGCCAGCACTCCCTAAATATGTTTTGATTTCAAAATAAAAAAAAATAAGGGTATGGTTTTCTCGGTATAGAACAATCTTAGTGGGTGTCAGCATTAAAATTCCGACATTATTTTTTTGGACCACTCTAATGTACATACAAGATTAGGTACCTACATACCCATATTAAAAACATACTTATGACTTGGATTTTTTCGACATAAAAACAACTTTTAGAAATCATTTATTTGGCGTCTCTGCCAAGTTCCACGACCTTTGTAAGCAATTTTTTCATCTCAGCGTTGACAAAATTTCTATTCTCCTCAACTTTACCGAAGTGACGGGGCAGTTCTGCGCAGTTTTGCTTTTGCCAATGAAGCAGTGAAGCGAATGATTTGCTTTTAATTGGAACCGCTATCGCGATTAGGAACTCCAAAATATATTTGAAAATGGGAAAAGGAATCTATGATTGGCTAATGTTTTAGATTTGGTTGGTAAAATGTGTTACGTGCTCCTTGTGAGTGATACCCTCACCATTGAAAAAATTTTACTAAGGCAAATATTATGTTTGAAGTCGTTTTACACATAAAATGACATGATTTAAAATTAGATTTTAAATAAAAAATTAGAAAATTTGACCCACTGTTTAAAATAATTGTAATGAAGTAAAGCAAAATTCTAAAAAAAAAATTGGGCTACCATGTATGCATATTTAGTCGAGAACCTAAAATGGCTGTCCCTCTGTGTTAAAATAAAATGGTTAACTACCCCAAGCGGTCATTCAACAATCCTCTGCGCCCCGAAAAACCTATTCTTAGTTCTCCTCGACTAGGCTCACAGTAATCAAAAGGAAATTACCGCCATGTTAAAAAATCTCCACTTTGTCATGATTTTTGTGATAGTAAAATACATATTTTCATAACACCGTGCGACAAAACTATGGGCCAAATATAGTAAAACTGCGTTATTGGTTTTTTCTCTCTGACGTTTTAACGACTTTGTAGTTTCAAAGATATGATTAATTCCAAAAGTATTTTAATAATTCAATGCAATATAGAATAACAATATGATTGCCAAATGAAAGAGAAAATTCTGTAGAATTAAAATATTCAAATTTATTGCTTCACAAGGACGAATATGTATTGAAAATACCCTTTAATTAAATTTTGTTTATCTAATAAAGTTAGAAAGACGAAATTCAAGGTATACCAGTCCTTAACGTATAATTTTTTCAAAAATAATTATTGCAAAGTTTTAAGAATATTCAAGGATAAAATGTTAAAAGGACATTTTCAATACCTACTCGTCCTGATGCACCAACAAATGTTATCGGCTTTAATTCTACAGAGGATTCTGTTTAATTTGGTAGTCATACTGTTTTTCTAAATACATTGGACTGGATTCTTTAAATAATTTGTTGAAGTAATCAAATTTTTTTTAATTTCAAAGTGCTTAAAAAATCCTGACGTCAGAGAGAAAAATTAAATACACAGTTTTACTTTATTTTGCCCGTGCTTGCTAGCTTTAAATAGAACTGCATTTGAATTAATATTTTTCATGCTTATCTGTACTCACGCTCTGACTCGCGGCATCGGCGGATAAATGAACGACGGTCGATGCGTGCGTTTAATGGCTGGCAACACCGGATAGCTGGTTAACTGATGTGAATGATACATTAACGCTAAATGTCCTGTCTGGCGATCGTCCCCCAGCGCCGACGAGAGCCTGCGATTTGATGAGCCGGGCGATGGTGGTCCTGAACCACCTGCCCCACCACCACCACCACTACCAGCATCACCATTGTCTCCACCACCACCGCCACTCACATCCAGCTGATGACTTAGCGCCGAAGACGTAGGCATATTCGATTCATCGATGGTCACACGATGATGTGAGCCGGAGTCTCGTAGCCGCGCAGCCAAACGGCCGGGCGACACTGAAGGAGTCGACGCAGCATCTACGGCCAGCATGACACTCGACGTTGCTGTGGCTGCTGTGACGCTCGCGACGCTTGGCGGTGAGCGACGTTCTTGCACGTGTGGCGGTTTGGCAGGTGGTGTTGGACCGCTACCACCACCACTCACGCTGCCGCTGCTATCCTCATCCATCGCGCTGCTGCTGTAGGTTGCCGCCGCTTTTTGGTGGTGCAGTAAATGTTGCGTCCCCGCATAGCTGGCGGGCACAGTGGGCGTAGCCACAGGCACACCGCCGTGCGTGTGATGATTTTGATGGTGTGGGTGCTGGAACTGATGTGGCAGGTGGTAGTGATGATGACTGCTGAGGTGAGCGCGCATCACATGCTGTTGCGGTTGCTGTTCGTCCTGGTAGCTCAGCGATGTGCTCGCTGTTATCGGTGCTGTGCTCATCGCGGTGGGTGAAACGACTGAAGCGGCGTCTAAGGTCTCACTAGACGCGGCTGCCGAATCGCCGCTGTAGGTGCTGCAAGTGGAATTAGAACGAGACACAATTGTTGCAGCCATATAGGAATTAAAGAGTTATTATTATAAATTCTTTAAAGGGGAAATCACTTTTGACCGTAGAAAAAGTAAAAAAAAAATATATATATTTAAACATTTTTCAATAAACATCATTTTGCACTCAAAAAACACGGCGAGAATAAATGTTGCTGATAAATATTATCGCCGCGCATTGTATTTTATTTTTAATTCATTTTTCTTTCGCATTAAACGCTCATTAAATTGATGGATGCGAAAATACTAGACACTTCGCAGTCGTGAAAAAAAATTCAATTTAAAACCAGATATGCTTTTTGTCTGCAAAAATTTCAAATATTTGCTACATTTTTGTTGCAGAAAATTATATTATATTTTATATTTTTATTATTATTTTATTATTATGTAGCATTAAAAATAATGATATATTTTTTTTTGTTATGTTTCACATTTTCGCTCGCAAAATTTTAGAACCACAGATATTCAAACGCCCGCCACAGCACGCTCGCGTTGAGTGACTGCGATGACGGTGCCGCTGATTTTTGCGTTCAACTGCCCAACTACCCAACAGGCCGGAAACGCTTTAAGCGCTGCAGTCGAATGAAAAAATTTAAATTAAATAAACCAACAACTATACGCGCAAATATGTACGAATATATTAAATTGTGTGTGTTTGTGTGTTTTTTCTGCTTTCGTTAAATTGGATAATTTAGTTTTAAGTTGTTTGAACGCCCTAATTGACGCTGGTGTCGGCGCGACTTTGCCACAGCCATCGTGGGGTGATTTTTTCGCAAAAGAGCGAAAGTGAAACCAGAGATGCGAAAAAAAAAACAATTTAAGAAATATCAGCTGAAAATTGTATAGTATACAACAACATGTTTTAAGTTGATCATTCAATTTGTATGATGAAAAGATCACTTTGAACTTAATTCGTGGAAAAGTGTAATGCGGTGGCGAAATTTTTTAATTTTCTAAAATTATTTAGTCAACAATTTCTTTGCCACAGTGCAGCGCATGATAGCCGCAAGGCCGAATGCATTTATACGGGGAACCAAATGATACCAAATATATATGTTATTTCGAGGGTTTATATTCAATACGATCTATCTGCAGGTTTTACAAAAATAAGATCGGTGTATAAAAATCAATCTTAGACTTAACTGTAAATCACTTGTCAGAAGAATTAACTATTGAATTTCAGCGATGGCAGTTAAGTCTCAGACGGGTTCTAACATCAAAAAGTAATTTTTGTATAAACTGTAGATAGGTCATATTGAATATAAGCCCTCGATATGTGTACAGATAGCTGCTGAAATTCCTTCCGACTATTTAAACTAGCTTTACCAGGTTAAGCTGCCTATTCCTCTTTGCATCACAATGACTGTGGGCATTCATTTTTTTAATTAACACAAATTCTAGATTTTTTATAATTTTTTTGCAGATAAATCTGCATGCAAGTTGTTGTACTATATCAAAATTATTAAAAAATTATTTCATAATATTCAGTTTTTTTAATTGTACGCAAGAAAACCGACAATTTTTACGTATTTGATAATGCGAAATTTGTCTGCTAGTCTAAAAAAAAAAGAAAACCCCTTTTTTTGCATTGCATCTGAAATGTACCTTAAAAAACTGTAATAAAGTACAAAAAATATAAAAGAAGTCCGTAAAGATTAAAAAAAAAATCCGAAATATTCCAAAAGTCATTAAATTTATTTTAAATTTAAAATATTAAAAAAATAAAGATAGTAAACAATTTACAAATAAAAAGAACGCTAGTTTCCCTTGCACATAAAAATAAATGCCAAAACTTTTAATGGTATCTTCGAACAAGAAGTATGATTTTTTCGCTACTTGTGTCGCGTAGATTTCAAAATCTTAAAAATAACTACACCAGCAAAGAAACGTGTCTTTTGCCGACGCACAGTGGGGTAAATGGTGCCGATTCCGGAGATTAGTTCTCATAAGCTGTCAGGTTACTTAAGAAATGTTTTCTTTAGTTTCGCATTCATGAAAAAACGAATAATAATATACATTCATTTTCTTTAGTGGATTTTTAATTAAACCTGGGTTAAAACGCCCAAAATTGAATTTCAAAAATCTAAAAACTATTCCAAATATTAGTCAAAGTTATAAGCATTTTCATCTTAAATAAATATTTCTTCCTAAACAAAATGACAAAAGAAAGCAAAATTGAAGAAATCATATCATTAGTATTTCTTTATTGATTTCATTTTTAACCTCTCCTTCATCAAGATCGTTATTCATTATTATCAACTATAGAAGTAGTTTTGGTAAAATCTGCACTTACTTTGTGGTAGTTTTACTCCTCCTTAACATGGCAATGTCAGAAATGAACACCAGTTTTTAAACACGTCTTCATCTCTTTATATATTTTCTATTCAAGTTGCTAGAAAAGCACTATAACTATAAACATTTTTTTCGAGCTTTTAGAGCTTTTTCTGGCAATTATCCGATTTTTAAAAAGGCTCTAAGCATTACGGTATGGGTCATAAGTGCATAATTGTGAATTTGGCGAAGCTATATCAAGAATAACACTTTTACTTGCGTTTAAAAATTCTATATATGTATTTGTAAAAAATTTCCAGCTCAATTTGAAGGGCGCTAGAAAACACCATTAGATTTATTTTTATTAACCTTGTGATTTCTATGTTCACGTTTCTGAGTACATGGTTCGGTTGCTAACAAAATAAGTCCAAATTTTTCCTTAAATTTTTCTTGTTTGTCCGCTTTATTTTAAGAAACTAAAATTTTCTTAATATTTTTATTGAGCTTTGTACACCGATCGTTTATTAGCGTTTCGCTGCTATAACTTCCACTGCTTAGACTTTCTTGCTTTTTCATATTTTCCTAATAAACAATTGTGGTACAAAGCTCTATAAAAACATTAAAAAATAAAATGTTAATAAGCCACAATAACATTGACAAATATAAAATTTGTTTTATTCTTTCTTTAAGAAACTAATAGTGATTTCGTTTCTACTGAAAAATTTCGCCTTTTGATTACCCCTTTTTCTTTTTGTGTTCGATTCTAAATTAAAGGCAAAGGGTGAGAAAATTTTGCGTTCGTTTCTTAAAATGTCACACTCTTGTAAGGCAAAAAAGGCACATTCTCTGCCCTGTGAAGCTTTGTCAGATGGTTATTTAAAACGACAATATTATGAAATGCGTGAGCTAGACAGGGTTGAGTGTACCATCAGATACATTCTCACCGGGGAAGGTGCAACATTTTTTCGAAGAAACGTAATAACCATAAGCACCGCAGCCCGCGGAAAAAATATGAATATTTATTTAGAAATTTAAAAAAATTCAAATAATCGCGAAAATTTAACTTAATGTCGTGGCAATGTACTTTCTAAAATTAAAGCAACAGACTTTGGCTATGAACGCTGATTGGGCTTCTATGCATACACATCGCTATTGAAACAACTCCTTTTTTGAGAGGCTTTCTTTGGCGGTTCCTTTGATACTGAAGCCAAAATTGGTACAATAGCACTCACTTTAACTCATTCATTTATTTCAATTTAAATCTCAGCTGGGGCACAACTAAACCCCAGCAATAAATCTTTGCAAGTACTTAAAGTCTGTCCCATTCCATATGCTACGAGTATTCTGCACAATTTCTATTTAGTAAAATGACTTTATATATATCACAAAGACTCGACACTCGACAAATTCAATACTGGCGTGTACCTGTAAATTTTGTTAATTAACAGCCAAACAAAGGAAATTCGACTGCGCAATTAAAAATCACAATTCACCGCCATCACAACGTTTGCCTTGTAAGCCAAGCATACTACAACAATACCAACAATACTCACAATCAGGGAGCATTTAAGCAAGCAAGTGACAAATGTTGCGCATACGACCCGGTGTACAACTTACATAGTTGTGTAGCATTTACAGTGTACAGTGCACAGTAGTCGCGCTAAGATAAAGTATTCGTTATGCGCTCTACGAGACTTTTGATGTTTTTGTTTGTACAGAAACAAAACTAAAAGCAATAAGAGTTCGGGCTATTGTCAGTGGTAAAGGTGCAAGCGGCTACACAGCGGCGCCACAGCTTGATAGCAGCTTAATTTAATATTCTTTACTCACTCTCACTTTGTGCGGAAAAGCATAGAGAAGCAGCTGGAGCTGCTGGCTGGCTGGCTGGCTGGTTGAATTGCTTGCTTCATTTCACTCTTTGTTGCAGCGACAAGAGCAAATTGAATTTATTTCACTTTTTTTTTGCTGGCCTTATTCCCACCTATTTCACTTCTTATACAATGTAACTTGGTGCTAAGGTGGATCTTATATGGTGTATATGTAGAGAAGGGTGGTCTATAAGATATCAGCATCTGAATTTTTTATGGGACACCCTTTTTATTTTGTTCTTTTTTTTTACTTTATTTTTAGTCTGTAAGAGAAATCAGTAGACAAATAAACAATAAATAAATTAAATAAAGATATCCACTAAAATCTCAGAATTTTAAAATTTTGAAAAAGTTTAAACTTTTTTAAATCGCAAGAATTCTACAAAATGCTGGGTTGAATTCTGATAAATTTGACATATTATTGAAACTTTTTTTGTAAAAATTAATAAAATCGCTGAGTTATTGCTGTTCAATGTAGAAATTGTGTCGAATTTTTGCGATTTAAAAAAAAAAACATTTCTCAAAATCTGCTAGCGACCACTAAATATTTTATTTATTTTTTTAATTTTTAAACTTTCGTTAATGCTTTGTTTTGTGCGTAGAATAAAATAAAGAGGTGCCCTATGATGCTGATGTTTTAAGGACCACACTACTTTACACAAATACAAACATATACGCCCTCAAAGCGAATGTTAATAAAAAATCAGTATGGCAAATATTAAAAGAAACAAATTGGCAACCAACGAACATGAACGATTTTGTAAGAAAAAACAAATAAATTGTACTCGCATTTGTAGATACCTTATTCAATTCAATTTTATAAGGCTAA